CCACCTGCCCCGCGCTCTGGCCCGCTGCTCTACACCGGCTACCCGATGTTCATGCCCTACCGCCCGCTGGTGCTGCCACACGGCCCGCTGCAAGCCGCCACCGGGCTGCCCCCGCTGGCCCCGCTGGCTTCCTTCGCCGGCCGCCTCACCAACTCCTTCTGCGCTAGTCTCGGCCAAGCCGTCCCGTCCATGGTGGCGCTCACCACGGCCTTGCCAAGCTTCGGGGAGCCCCCAGACGGGTTCTACCCATCTCAGGAACTGCCAGTCGCGGGGCGAAGTAGCACCGAGCCGCCCTGCCGCCGTCGCAGCGTGGCGGACGGTCTGGAAAATGGTGAGCTGTCTCCCGCCCGGGACAAAGGACCTCTGGAGCCACCGCTGCACTTCCCGGATCCCTTTCCTGGCCTGGCAGGTGGGTTGTTTGTCGCGGACAGCGGGTGGGATGGGGGGAGGAAACGGTGGAATGGACCCTCTGGCCGCTGCCCCCGTTGCAAGAACTTTTCTTGCGGCGGGAAAGTTTGCTCAAAAACGGGAGTGCCTTGTGGGGCAACCAGCGGGTGGGAACGGACCGAGTTTCCGGGGAAGATGAAGGCAATGGCCAACCTTCCCGGTGGCTCGGCAGCTTCTCCGGGTCAGCGCGGTCCGTTCTCCCTTCCCCACTGGCCAGCAGGCAACCTGGAGCTGTTCGCGGTTCTCCCGCGCCTCCCTTGCTGGCAGCCCTCGTAGCTTTTGGTCCGCCTCTGCCGCCGGGCGCCCAAGCCGATCGGTCCGGTTCCTGCATTTTCCTCCCCGCTGCCGCCATGTCCAAACGCGCGGGCGTAAAGTCTGTTCCCGAACGGCACTCCCCTTTGTGCACGGAGGAGTCGTGGGCTCCCGGACTCTTGTCCAGCACCACCCTGTCAACAGAGTTGAGTTGGTCTGGAAGAGGCCTCTCGGCTCCGTGCACCCCCAGCTGCAGCCGCCCCCACAGAGCTCTTGTCCGAGGAGTGCCAAAAGACCTCTCCCGACTCTGGCGAAAGAGCTCTCTCGTGGGCCGGCGGGGCGCCATTCGGAAAACCCCGGGAAGGAGGGGACGGAGCTGTCCCTGGTGCTGCGGAGCGGCCGAGCCGGGCTGTCCATGCCATCGGCCAAAGGAACCTCAGGGCGGAGGGCCAGGACAGCGGGCTTTTCACCAGGCTGCCTCGGACCCGCGGCCAGGTCGGAGCAGCCGTCCCAGCCCCGGCAGAAATTGGTCGCCCCGCGAGCTGGAGCAGCCAGATGACCGGCGGCTTGGAAAAAGAGGGGCCCAGGTTTTTTCTC